GATCGCTCCGAAAAACTCATCGCTAAGCGCTTTCATCGTTAAACGAAGCAATCGCTAAGCGAGGCACCACTGTAATATCATTCAGTTGGGAAATGTTTGTTCTGGACCCTTCAGACCCTACCAAGAGGATGATGGATCTGTGAACCTATAATACAAGCCGTTCTTCTTAAGGGGAAACAGGTCATCTGGCAAAGGAAGTGCCTCTTGAAGGCTAATCATGATATGCTCACTAAGATTTGCTTTCTTAAAAACAATCAAAGCCTTGCCAGACTTTGCAACCTGTTGCCTTGGGTGGTGATGAGGCTGCAAGCAAACAGTTTTCCAAAAACTGAAAGGGAGAGCATGACCCATGGAAACAAAAGGGACAATCAAGGCATCTGTGCGACATTGCAACAGCATTAAAATGCCTGCCATTGCAGGGGCGCTGGAATGCCATGTCCTTTAGCGGTTTCTATGAAAGCTGCCAAAATGTGTAAGGAACTTCAAAGGGCTGGAGCACGCTGAATTATTCACTGTCTCTGTGCCTACACATACACACACGTGCGCACTGGATGTAACCCTCTTTTTAACTACATGCCAAATGATTTTAGAAATCTCCCATCTCATTTCTTGGAAAACCTCCTGGCAGAAATAGGTCGATTCCTATGCACAGCTGCTAAAATGCTGCTTTAGAATGTGGGAAGGGTCCGATTTCAGGCGGCTCCTCACTCCACTTCCGTCCCTTTGGTGCAGTGATGCAGGGCAACAACTGAACATTCAAGACCCTGCTCTGGCATTCACATTCCTCAGACTGCTCAGTTCCATGTATAGCACTGCAAGGCAACAGCTTTACGTTTCCACCCATAATCCAAAGACTTTTAAAAAAAAACTTAAGTAACAATAAACATTTTCTTCCAGCCCTTATGTTCTGATGTTCATTTCTTCTGTGTTCTTCTAATACTATCAAAAATGCTTACAGACTGACTCAATCTCTTTACATTGTGGACAGCAGAATCGAATCAATATTATTGGCTTCTTTCAATGTAGGCACAGCCATACATAGTTCAGTGCTAAGGTCAGAAATGTGAAGTTTTGGGTACTACAACTTCCAGAATCCTAACCATGCTGGCTTGGGGATACTGGCACTTGTAGTCCAAAAAGGGAAGTTTCCCTAGCTCTGGTAGAGGACCTCCTTTGTTTGCAGAGAGTCTCAACATTAGCAAATCCTGGCTCAGAGAAATAACAAGGCGTTTGAGGAAAGTTTGTTTTAAAACACTGTCTCTCACAACTTTCCAAAGGCAAAACTAGGGTTGCTTCAGAGAAATCTCATGTGTTAACCAGACAACCCCAGAGTATTCCTCAGCCGTTGGGTGTGTCGCTCTAGACCAGGCAGCTGCAAAGTCAGAAAGTACTGGGGGGGGAGTTTGTCAGCTAGCCAGCCCAGCTGCTGTCAGGCTGCACAGACCCACAACAGAGCAGAGAAGCCGAAAGCGTTCCACTCCCTTTCACCCAAACCTTCTTCACCTTTTTTCCAGTTGCCTAGCAACCATCCTGCACACTTACTCAGCACTTTCCCCCCACTCCTTAAACAGGTTGTATTATTAAGAAAGGAGGTGTGGGTGGGAGGAAAAGAAAAAAAAAACACAAAACAACTATGGTAGCTAGTGACATCCTTGAGGGGGGGGGTCTGTTGCCCTCTCAACCATGCTGCCCAGGCCTCAGCACTGTTCAAATTGCTGACAGGAAGTTTCATAAAAGTGCCTTGCTGATTAAAGCCTGCATGCCAGGGATCACAACACAATTCCTTTTTTAAACTCCTCTTGGGGGTGCGGGGCAAAAGGTTCGCACTCTGCTAAAATTAGGAGGCACAACTGCAGTGCAATAAAGCTCAGAGGTTCACAGAGCAGCATCTTTCCAAACCATGCTCCTTGTCAGACTGTCTCTGTACAAGCATTTTTGGGGTGTAAAAACTGAGACACTGTTTCAGTTCCCCAGATGTAGGGAGATGCACAGGCCCGGAAACGTGACACCAAGTTACTGCAAGTCTGCCATCAAGTCAACCCAATCCATGGGCACCCTTCCCAAAGTTTTTGGGTCACATTCTGGGCCTGTGAACTTTGCCCAAGGCTGCACAGGTGACAGGGCATATAACTCCACCAGCCTTACAAACTCCAGGTGATCTTGGCTGGCCCCTCTGGTGAGAAGCAGAGAGGAGACTCAAACGCCTGGCCCCTGGCTCTGTAACCAGGCACTCCAACTTACCGAGTTGTACTCACTTTAGTATTAGAACATTATGCCATCCTGTACTCTCGATTGTTGTTCTATAAGTTCTGAACAGTGTGCTTTAAAGGCACTTACAGATAACTAAATATCAAGAGAGTCAACTATACACCCTGAAATGAACATGCAGCACATTATATCCATGGCTGGCCCACCGGCAAAATGGGAGTGTGGCCTCACACAACAGATTTTGGGTGTCACAAAATGGTAGCAAAGTAGTTCTTATTTAAAAGGGCCAAGTGATTATTATTTAAAAGGGCAGAAGCAAATGTGGGATTTCTGCTTTGTGTGGCAAAACAACTTTATGGACTTGCTGTTGTTGTTTCGACTTCTATACCACCACATAGTGCTTAGCGCACTCTCTGCGTGGTTTACAATGTAATTATGGAGGCTACATACTGCCCCACCAAGCAAGCTGGTTACTCACTTTAACAACCTTGGAAGGATGGAAGGCAGCGTCAACCTTCAGCCGGCTACTTGAATCCATCGTGATCAAACCCAAGTCATGAGCAGAGGCTTGACTGCAATACTGCATTTTAACCACTGCACCATGAGGAACTGGCCTTACGTATGGTTTTAAAATGGTAAAAACAGGTTCTCTCTCGTAAGCCTCTTTTTAGACTTTGGGTAATATGCAAAGGGGAACCTGAAGAGAGGTAATAGGCTGCTTCACCTCGCAGCAGCATGTCTTGGTCATGCTCTGATTATGCCAAACAGCTTTCCATAGCTATATTTTCTATTGCCACATACATATGAAGAATTATTTCCATTTGAAAGATACTTTTCAAATGCAGTTAACAAATCTGGGGTAAAAGGAGGAAATATATGACTACAATAGGCAATAACAACGAAACAACAGAAGGAGGAATTTGTCTACTACTCGCTGCATACAAAAGCCCTACATAGAGATTGTTAGCTGCGATGGATTTCACAGATTGAACAGTCAAGGAGTGTTATGAATTCTAGTAGTTCACCAGTCCTTTAATGACATGACCAGGTAATAACCCTGTATGCTTGTTGTTTTAATGTGTGAGAAAGTTTGTTTGAGTTCACTGTATACCGAACACTACATAATAGAGGAAGATTCCTGTTCTCAGATCAAAAACAAGATAATTCACCAGAATGCTCGTCAATGGAAGAACCTAACAACATTAGTTTAAAAATGCATGTGAATGAATATACAGTAATATGGAACTACTTTTACTACAGGCCTATGAGTGAATTCAACATAATGCCTCCTCCTGTATCTCCTTTTAGTCATAAGCAAAAAATATCCTTTTTGTGGGGAGGATTTCAAAGCACAAGTTCTGATATGCCCCACTAGGCTCTGTCACATCCTGGTGTATCTGAGGGGGCATTAATAAACCTCCAGAAATGATATGCCAACTGGTGTCTTTACACAAATAGAAAACATACTTCAGTTTGCTGCCAAGAAATGTGAGACTGTATTACTAAATACAGTATAAACAAATGTTATCCTGGAATAGCCAAAGGGTGTTAGGCACAAATCCCAAAGGCAAAAGGACGCATGGGAGTTTTCCTCCCCCTTTGTCTTTTTAAATATCTGTCACCCTGATCCTTTATATGTTTATTCTGAATCAAATTCTGGTCAGTTCAGTAAGGCCTATTGCCAAATAAGCAAACATAGAATAGCAGCCTAAGCTTGCAATGCTTATGTGCACCTGCCTGGGAGTACACAACAGATTTCTAAGACGATATACATTAAGATTGCACTTTTCAGAAGTGTACCATGAGGAAGTGATGCCTGTGTATGAGAGAGACAGAAAGACAGTGAGATAATAGCTCTATTTACAGTGCAATCCTCCGAATGTTCATTCAGAATAAAGTCCATCTGAGTTCACTGGAACTTACTCCCACAGCTTCCTTACAGAAAACATAGAATTGCAGTCATAATTGCATATATGGTTTGGAACCACCTCCAAAAAAAAAGTGAGATAAAATGAATTCCCAATTGTTCCACAAAGCAACTACAGAATTGTTTTCTGTAAGGAAGCTGATTAATATATTGGGAAAAATACATCATCAGTAGGGAATATTCTCCAGTATATGAAAAACATCCTTTGTAATTGTCTGGAGCACTTGCTTCCTTAAAGCCACGTAAAGGAAACACCAGTTCTGTTTTGAACAATGTGAGTCATTCTAACAAATTAACCTCAGGTTTTATAGGGAAAAAAAATCCAAAAATGCATAAAAGAAACACAGTGAAGAAAGTCAACACCCAGTGGATGGTTGTTAATAAAAAAAAAGTCTTAAGATAGTCAAAAGTGCAAAATATTAGCCATACAGCTAATGAACCAAACTGCTGAAACAGACTTAAGAACAAGCCCTTGGGAGTACTGGCAAGCTTCATCACTGAGAGGTCCTTCAAATAACAATCATACAGGTACTGGCCACTAATAGGAGCAAAGCCCAGGAAGAGACACAGCATCCACTGAGACAGTCCATCAGTCCACAGTGCAAGATTTCTCTCCAGGTTCTGCTGGTGTCACATGAAGGCTAAAGTCCAATTGTTAGACCTAACTAGAGTAGACTCCATCAATGGAAACTTGGTAAATGCATGTTCTATTGATTCAATGGTCCTACTCCAGTTGAGACTAAAAATTGTATTTAGGCCTAAGGTTTTAATCTTCTAAGATCCTATGGCCAGAGAAGCATGGATTGTCCCAGTTCGTTAAGCAAGCAACATTATTAATAAAGCATGCCTAAACACACAGCAATACCTGGCGCATCAGTTCCTCTTGCCGCATACGGATTCTCTCTCTTTCCATCTGGATCCTCTGAAGTCTCAGCTTCTGTTGTTGCTGTTGCTGGGATGTCAATGCATTTGGCATGTTCAATAAGCCAGCCTGAGGGTTTGGGGTAGGGTGGTTCGGCTGGGATAAAGTCGTACTGGACGTCATTTGCGGCTGGTGTTGGTGATTCATTACTATGGAACAAACATGGTGCAGAAATGATTAGGACACTGCTGTATTTATTTCTCATTTTTAATTCATTCATTCATTTGTTTGTTCATTTGTTTGTTCATTTCAGTGCAACAATTGATGCCAAAATCCTATCGCTGGTGTAACTGAAATGGCCTAACTATGGGCTGTAAATTGCTAAAAGTTAAAAATTTACCATGGACTTTATTTGCTGCATACTATGTAGCACAACTCGGTGTGCAACAAGTAACATCTACACTAACTTTGTAACTTGCAGCATTTCACTATCAAATTTACGTTATGTCAGCAGCAGGATTTTGACCTATTTTTCCCATACCCAAAGTAAACAAGAGCAACATAAATATAAAGAATGTTTAAAGACTGTGCGGCTAACAATGACTTTGCTCAGTGTCAGAAAAACCTTAAAGCAAGTGTTATGTGGATCTCTTTGAAGAGCAAAAATGGTGCTAGATATTCTGCGGCCAGAGGGACAGCAGAAAAAAGACACTTCCCATTCACACAAATCCAAAACACAGAATATGCAAGTCAAATACTGGCACATGAGACAGAAACTCCCACATCCATCTTTCCTCATCACTGTCAGTAAAAATTAAAGTTAATAACTATTTGTTGCCCTTTCATGATATCCAAAATTGACTGCCTGAGGCAGTCTTGTCTCATCTCACATTTAGCCTAATTATTGGGCTAGCTCTCCTGGGGAAGACATTCTATCATGGGGGAGCACCATTACACAAAGTCCTTTCTTGTGTGCCCATGTATACTGCCTCTTTAAAAGTGGTTTATTTAAAAAGGCAAGAAAGGGACACTGTATACAGTATTCTTTTTCTTTAAAAGTGATTTACTTAACTTGGCAGTGATAGGGAAATTCTGAGGAATGCAAAAATGGTGGGGACCACATGGAGTCTCTGGGTCATGAATTACCAATCCCTCACTGAGATTCCAGAACAAGAAATAAAGGAAAGAATTGACCATTCACCTAGAGAGACCACCAGCGGCTATTTATAACCGTGGTAGAAGAAACTCAAAATTTGTCACTCTTTTTATTTAAATTCATGATTAACATATAAAAGAAGAAAAACCATAACTTCAGAGAAGCAAAGATAATCTGAATCTAGAATACTTTCTCAAATAAATGAATGAATGAATGAATGAATGAATGAATGAATGAATGAATGAATGAATGAATGAATGAATGAATGAATAGGAATGAAAATCCTCCCTACTTCTGCAACTGGCATTTGCCAAGCTCTCTTTGAGAAATCTTGCCATACCCTTTAAACATACCGAGGGCCTTTCTCCCCACCTCCACCCCAAATTGCCTCTGAATTTTTGACTTTGGGCTGCAGTCAGTGGAAATCTGCCCATCTGTGATTGAGGTATGTGACTTAGACAAATACCCAAATGGTCCATTTTACAAACTGGTGACATATTATACCAATTGTTTTTCGGCAAAGTCAGCACTTCTACCCCTTGCTTCAGTTACCAGAGACATCAGTGACATTAGCTATAATAGATGTCAATTTGCCCTGTAATGCCTATCATAGACTCAGCCTAGAATTTAGCTTAAATCTTGCTTTTGTTTTTCCGCTTCAAAATAAAAGAAAGTATACAGCAAGACACTTGTATAGGAAATGAAAGCATACACTTTATTAGGTCTGGGAGGATTCAGAGGGCTCGGCCCAGGCCATGCTTTGACCCAGTTATGTGTATATTAAACTATAGATTGCATCTAGAAGTATTTTTTAAAACCCATTTCCCTACTGCAGAGGCACTGAACAGTCTTCTGGAGCCAGTTAGAAGAAGTGTGAACAACATTCTGAACGATACATCTAGAGCAAAGGTCCCAGTCCTCCTCTGGAACAGAGGAAGCAGAGCATTGCTTGTACGATTAAATTAGGATCTGTAGTTTGAGAGATAGTGAGAATTCCATTTCCCGATGAGGCATGCTAATACAAGTCCTAGAAGGAAGATAAAGAGGGAAGGGCAGGAAGAAACCCCAAGGTGCTCCTGTTAATATATCCAGCAATTTTCAAAGAGTTAGTCATGTTTGTCCACTTTAGTGGCCAGAATCCTACTGGTGAAAAAACATGCATGGAAAGACAAAGCATGCAGTGCTTGCCTTCCAGTGTGCAACTAAGTGAATGATTGTTTCCTCAACCCAAGAAAGCAGAGAGGGAGGGGGAGGAGTGGAGGGCAGGGTACGTGGGCTTATTTGCATGGTTGCTTGTTTAAGCTGTGTGAATCCCAAAAGATTCTGGCCAGTATGAATAACAAAAACAAAAATAAGTCTTCTGGTATCTTTAAGACTACTGCCTGTGATGGAGTTGAAGCAGTATGGGATATGTAGTCAGAGAAATGTAAGATGGAGTCAGACAGGTTCTGTGTGAAGATGATTTGAGAGACATTGGAATGTGTTTTTCTAAGTGCTATAAGAGTGTTTTTCTGAAGACCAGTACAGCGTGGTTCCTGATAAGCTGAGGGTCGGAAAAAGAGGTCCGTGAAAGACCCAACGTTCTGAGCTAATTGGAGAAGAAATAAAACACCTGGATCTTCATGGGAATTGAGAGTGGAAGAAGGTATTACAGCCCCTTGAGGCGAATTCGTTAACAGCCATGAAGTGTCAAGAAAGGAGGAGTTAGAGAATATAGAAAAGATGGAAGGAGACATGTGAGAGAGAGCTTAGCTACAAGCTAACTGTTTTCTGAAGGATTTATTTATTTATTTATTTATTGATTGATTGATTGATTGATTGATTGATTGATTTGATTTGATTTGATTTGATTTGATTTGATTTGATTTGATTTATATCCTGCCTATCTGGATCACCAGACCACTCTAGGCAGCTTCCAATACAAGATAAAACAATAAAACACAAAAATGTACATAACCATTCAATAACAATTATAATAAAATAAAACAAAATAGAAAAGAATTAGAAAGAAAAGTCAGGAATTAGCTGGAGGGAAGGCCTGGATGTACAACCAAGTTTTTAATTGGATTTTAAAGATACCCAGCGTAGGGGCCGCGCGAATCTCCGAAGGGAGGTTATTCCAGAGGCGAGGAGCCACCGCCGAGAAGGCCCGGTTTCGTGTCTTCTCCTTCCGGGCCTCTCTCGGCGTCAGGCTCCTCAGCCTCACCTCCTGCCTCGCACGGGTGATCTGGGTAGACCTTGGTGGAAGCAGGCATTCCGCCAAATATTGAGGTCCTAAACCATTTAGGGCCTTATAAGTAAGCATTAAGACTTTGAAGTCGACGCGGAAATGAATGGGCAGCCAATGCAGTGTGGCCAGAGTTGGAGAAATGTGTTGGTATTTTCTCCCTCCGGTGAGGAGTCTGGCCGCCGCATTCTGCACCACCTGAAGTTTCCGCATCAGCTTCAAAGGCAGCCCCACGTATAGCGCGTTACAGTGGTCTAATCTTGAGATTACAAGCACATGCACCAAGGTAGTGAGTGTCCCCGTGTCGAGGTAGGGTCGCAGCTGGGCAATCCGCCAGAGATGGAAAAAGGCGGTACGGACTACCGACACCACCTGCGTTTCCATGTTGAGCGTCGGGTCCAAGTATATGCCCAAGCTGGGGACCCCACTCTTTGCAGCCAGGGTCACCCACCCAAATGTGAGTCACCCAAGCCACCAACCATGGGGCCACCCACCCTCAGAACCTCCGTCTTGCCTAGGTTCAGCCTCGGCCCGTCCTCCTGCATCCATTGCAGTATGACCCCCAGGCAGCACTGGAGGGACAGGACGGCATCACCTGCAGTTGGTGAAAAGGAGATGTAGAGCTGGGTGTCATCGGCATATTGATGACATGAAGCCCCACACCCTCAATGACCCCTCCCAGCGGCCTCATATAGATGTTGAACAGCATTGAAGAGATAACCGACCCCTGTGAAATCCCACAGTTGAGGCTCCACGGGGCCGAGACACTCTCTGCAAGTTGTACTCTCTGGGGACTGTCCTCCAAGAAGGAACGGAGCCAGGCAAGTGCCGAGCCACCATGCTACAGAGACAGCATTGGTCGTCCTGTAAGATGACCTGTTGAGGGAGGCTGACAGGGGAAAAACGTCTCTGTTGGTCCTCCTCGACATCTCGGCGACCTTTGATACCATCGACCACGGTATCCTCCTGGAGAGGCTCTCTGAGTTGGGAATTGGTGGCTTGGCTCACCTTAGTAGTGTTTCTTATTTTAATGGGGATTAGTTATTTTATTTAACTGTAATAATCTTTGAACATGTTTTTATGCTAAAGCTTGAGCAATATAAGCGGATCCTATGAAAATCTATTTTTCTAATAAAAAATTATTATAAAAATTATTACAAGGGACTGGTCTCTTGAACAGCAGGGTCTGGCTAAATCCAAGGAGTGGAGAAGGCCACAACCTAGCTATCATTGAGAGTCCTACCTGAGCTGTTGTGAATTCTAAAGAATCACAAAGCCCATGTGTCTGTACTTGCAAACTACTGGGTAAAAGTAAAGTGTTCTTTTAAGGTCAGACTTGTTCAAGGGGCTTATGCTACGCACTGCTGAGGTCCTGAGACTTGCCTCAGCAAAAAGGTGGTGGGTAAGTGGCCTGAGGAACTCTCTGACCGAGTGCTAAGCATTCCTTAGGGAGGCTTGTGCACCACAATGCCAAGTTAGCTTTTGTGTATTGCAACCCATTTCTTCAGAAACAGTGTGTATATAAAGCCCTGCATAGGTCAGGATATAGATATGTGATGGAGGATTTCTCCACCTCACCCCATGTACCTACCTGGACCTAGTTGGGGATGCATTAGTTCAGTGGTCCCCAACCTTGGGCCTCCAGATGTTCTTGGACTTCAACTCCCAGAAATCCTGGCCAGCAAAAGTGGTGGTGAAGGCTTCTGGGAGTTGTAGTCCAAGAACATCTGGAGGTCCAAGGTTGGGGACCACTGCATTAGATGACTGGCTGCTATTCATGATGGAGGGGTATTCCTGCTACTGCCAAAGAGGCTATGCTGAGAGGC